AATACCCTGGCTGACTTTCAGAGGCCCCCTCATTTTTCATTCAAGCATCATATACCCTACGTTACACAGGATGATTCTGAAAATTGTCAAAGTGGCTTAGGCTTCCTACAAGCCATATCATGAGCATGAGGAACAGGAAATGTTCCTTTGCTCTCTGCGCTGGCAATCAAAGATATGAAAGGCAGACCATGACTGGTCAGCTGGTCCTAAACATATTCCTCCTTCTACAGTTGCCTATCATCCATTACTGAATGTAAATTAATTTTTAAAATAATTATTTTAATGAATTATATTCAAGATTAGTAATTCCGAGACTTTGCAAGTTTAATATATGGAACAGAATTCAGAGAGTCAAATTTTATATAAGAGTTTCTCAGGCCAGGAACTACACCATATATCGAGAGTGGGGCAAGAAGTAGAAAATCGTCTCTGATACAGCTTTGATCTGAGGATGAGGAATTCTTGGACATTTTTCAGAGTCACTTGCGTTGATTGGAGTCTTGGCCACACTCCTCTGCCACCTGCTCTTGAAAATTGGGTAATGATTGCCACGAAATACTGATTTGTTTTGTTTTCCTGTCAGAGAACTCAGTGTACTCTGCCGTGGTTTTGGTGTGTTTGAGAAGTATTTGGACTCCAGACATAGCAGGCAAAGTCTATTCTTTGGGGACACATTAAGTCTTCCTTTGTCCTATTAAGAAATGAACTCATTAGAAATATACTACCTGCTTCCTAAAAAAAATTTTTGTCACAGGTTACAAAACTATGTCTGGGATCAAAATTTCTTTAAGAAATTTTAAAAGGATATTCACATTTCTAGAAAATATGACAACACTAAAGCATATAAGAGTGCAAAACAAGCATCTGATCTCTTTAGAACAAAGGAGGTTGGAGATAACTCTATCCAAACTCAGTTTCTCTTCTATGCTTTCCTTCCAGCCATGCTCATTTAGACCAAATATAGTAAAGGAGTATGGTGCTGAAACATTTTCATACATAAAGGAACTGGCAAGGTTTATCATCAAGTAGAGTTGCATTTGGGGAAAACAGTTTACTTGGCTTGATGACTGATTGAGTTGTAAATCATCTCCTATTTCCAAAAGAAGGTATATAAAATGCATAAGACAGAGCACTTAAAATAAATGTCAAAAGGAAAAAAACAGGAACTATTAAGAGGAAAAAATGTATAACCAGTGACTATATTAATAACTAATACTTACTGAATATATACCATAGGTAATATCTCTAAGAGTTTTCTTTTTTAATTGATGTATAATTAACAGAGTGTTATATTAGTTTCAGATGTACAATATATAATTCAACAATTCTTATATTGCTTAGAGCTCATGATGATAAATGTACTGTCAATCTCCTTTATCTATTTCACCTATCCCCCTACCCACCTGCCCTCTGGCAACCATCACTTTGTTCTCTGTATTTAAGAGTCTGCTTATTTGTCTCTTTTTTCTTTGTTTGCTTTGTTTCTTAAATTTCACCAGTGAATGAAATCCTATAGTATTTGTCTTTCTCTGACTTATTTCACTTAGCGTTAATCTTCTGGGTCCATCCATGTTGTTGCAAATGGCAAGATTTCATTCTTTTTACGAAGTAATATTCCATTGTATATTATGTATGCCACATCTTCTTCATCCATTCACCTATTGAGGGACATTTAAGTAATTTTTATATCTTAGCTATTGCAAATATGCTTCAGTAAACATAGAGGTACATATATCTTTTCAAATAAGTTGTGGGTTTTTTTGTTTTCTTTAGGTATATACCTAATAGTGGAATTACTGGACCATTGGTAATTCTATTTTTATTTTTTTTAAGAATTCTTCATACTGTTTTCCACAGTGGCTGCACCAAATTGCATTCCCACCAACAGTGTACAAGAGTTCCATTTTCTCCACATCCTCACCAACACTTGTTATTTCTTGTCTTTTTGATTCTTCCCATTCTGACAAGTTCTAAGGTGATAACTCATTCTGGTTTTGATTTGCATTTCCCTGATGATGAGTGATGTTGAGCATCTTTTCATCTGTCTGTTAGCCATTTATATGTCTTCTTTAGAAAAATGTCCATTCCTGTCCTCAGCCCATTTTTAATCAGATTATTTGGGTTTTTTTGATGTTGACTTGTATGAGTTCTCTATATATTTTGGATATCAATCCCTTATTGGATACATCATTTGCAAATATCTTCTCCCATTCATAGGCTGCCTTGTCATTTTGTATTGATGGTTTCTTTTGGCGCATAAAAGCTTTTTTATTTTGGTGTGTTCCCAATAGTCTATATTTGCTTTTGTTTCCCTTGTCTGAGGAGACACATCTAGAAAAATGTTTCTATGGCCAATGCCAAAGAAATTACTGCCTGTGTTTTCTTCTAGGAGTTTATGGATTCAGGTCTCACATTTAGGTCTTTAGTCCTATTTTGAGTTTATTTTTGTATATGGTGTAAGAAGGTAGTCCAGTTTCATTCTTTTGCATGTAGCTGTCCAGTTTTCCCAGCATCATTTAATCAATAGACTTTCCATTGTATAATCTTGCCTCCTTTATTGTAGATTAATTTTCCATATAAGCATGGTTTATTCCTGGGCTCTCTAGTCAGTTCTCTTGATCTACGTGTCTATTTTTGTGCCGATAGAATACTTTTTTGATTACTAAAAGTTTTTGTAATATATTGACTCATATAATCCTTGGCTCAACATTATTACATGGACACTTTTGTTATCCCCATTTACCTATAAGCAAGCTACAAGACAGAGAGATTAATAATTTGCCCAAGGTCACAGAGCTAATAAGTGGCAGAACTAGGACTTGATTTCAGATAGTCTTGCTTAGACCCTGTGTGCTAAACTAGGATGTCATCCTGCCTTCTAAACTTGGTGACAGCACTTTTCTGAGCTTCCAGGCAGGCAAGGCAAGACTCTTCAGTACTTTTCCCGAGTGATAAAAACTTGAGAAAATGATTGGATAGATTGTAATATGAGTAACATTATGATTAATTGCCATTTCCCACAAGATCCAGATGTGTTCTTAAAAATACTGTTTTTCACATCTACCCTCAGTAAAAGGGTTCTTTTTTTTTTAAGATTTATTTATTTATTTTAGAGAGAGAGAAAGCATGGTAGGGGGAGGGAGGGACAATCTTCAGGCAGACTTCCTGCTGAGCACAGAACCTGACATGGGGCTCAATCCCACAACCCTAAGATCATGACCCAAGCCGAAACCAAGAGCCAGATGCTAAACAGTCTGAGCCACCCAGGTGCCCCAATAAAAGAGGTTTAAGTAGTAACTCAGTGAATATAACTAACGTGATTTGAAATCCAACTTTCCTAAAGTGAATAGCCGTGATGCTTGGATGTGATTTCTCTCATTGGTCCTTGTTTTATTTGCATTTGTAACAGTCTGTAATCGTCTTGTCTACATATTTACCTATCTTTGTATTGCTGGCCTCTTCTACTAGAAGGGAGTGTGAGGATCTCTTTGCCTCAGCCGTCTGTTTATCTTCGTACCTTACTTAGCACAGAGTCTGGCTTGGCAGGTACTCAAAATTATTTCTTGAGTAAATTCATGAGTGTATGAATCCTCCAAAGGCAAAGAGTTCTGCCGAAGAACAGCCTCAGGATCCTTACAGTATAAATTATGATGCTATGTACAATTTATAAATTACGACTAGTAGGAGTTCCTTAAGGAGTTCCTGGTAGGGTAGTCCTGACTGCCATTGAGGAGGCGGGGTGCTGATTCTCCTACTTGTTTTCTTCTTCTTCCTGAGCTCTGATGTCAGGGCCAGTCCCTGGAGTTGGGTTCTGTAGGATCACCCCAACACCACCCAGCAACTCACCGGGGACCTGCTGCCAATGGCAGTGACAGTGACAGAAAGGAAGTCCACACCCACACCGCAGCACTGTTCCCTTCAAAGTTCTTGGCTGCTGCTCTCAATGGACAGTTGTAAACCCAGACTTACAGAGATAACACTTCACGTGGCCTCCCAGGAGCAGGTGGTGCCTCCCCTGAGAGGCTCAGGCCCCGGGCCCGCATCTGGCTTCTTCCCACTCCCAGGTCTCTTGTCTCTCAGGGCTCCAGGCAATGGCCTTAAGTGGCCGGAGCCCTGTGTTCACTGGGCCCTATTTGGGGGCTTAACAAAGCCTCCAGTCCCTGGCCTCACTTGGCCAACCTTCTCTGCCCTTTGTCTTCTGTAGTGTTTCAGCCCTAAGAGGAACACGTGGGTCAAGGCGGACACTAGACCCCTTTTCAGCTCAAGGAAGAGAAAATGTGTTTATTCAGCAATGACTGGGTAGGCCAGGGCCCGTTAGTTTAAGTGAAACCAGAAGGTATTTGCTCCCGGATTTTCTCTAAAGAAAATTGCAGCTGAAATACTGGTTACATCATAATTCTTAAAAGAATGTAATGGCTGTTCTAAGCTTTGTTTTCACAGGTTATGGGTCCACTCCCAGCCGTGTCATCGACACTCCCGTGACACTGAATTCCTTTTGTTCCCTCCAGGCAGTGCAGCCCGCCACACCTTGCACCTTTGCTCTTGCTCTGGGTTAAAACACCTTCACTCCAGCCCTTCCCTGCCTGCACAGTTCACCTCAGGGCAGGGGTGGGCCTCCCTGAAATTTCCAGATCCTGCTCTACACCCCACATTTGTTTTAGCACTCACATATTATACTTAATGATCTATTTAGATGTCTGTCTCCTCTGTTAGGCTATAAGGAATCTCTTGAGAGCAGGAACCATGTCTTAACTCATTTTTATTTTATTTTATTTTTTATTTTTTTAATTTTTTGCCACAATTCCTGGCATAAAGTCTGGCATGCAAAACGGGCTCAATAAATATTGACTGAGATGAATCGTGTTGTCAATAAAGTATGGTGCTCTCACTCTGATCTTTTTCTGCATTCGGAACTCCTGGAAGCACTGGAAACATTTTAGATTGTCTGCATTTTAGAACTTCCAAGAATGTAATGTTTTGTTCCTTCTTTTCCTTTTCAGGAACCTCTTTCTGGAGCTATAAAAGACAAAGAGAAGAATCATGTCCATGATTGCAGCTTTCTATAGTGGCAAGTCCATTCTCATTACTGGGGCCACAGGCTTCATGGGCAAAGTGTTGATGGAGAAGCTATTTCGCACCAGCCCTGACCTGAAAGTCATTTACATCCTTGTGAGGCCCAAGGCTGGCCAGACAACGCAGCAGAGGGTTTTCCAGATCCTAAATAGTAAGGTATGCCGTAGGGGAAGAGCCCTGGGACAAGGTGACTCACTACAATGTTCCCTGACATCCCCAGACTGCTGGTGGGGGCCAGGATGCCTGGGCAGGTAGAGGAGAGGAAACGGAATAAGATGGCAACCAGCTGCTCACAGAAAACCTGTGATATTTTCCTGTAACTGAAGAAAGAGGGCCTAGGCCCTAGCCAGGGCAGGTGAGCAGATACTCTATGTTCTGGAAATAACTGAGTAAGAGTCCAAATGCCAAAACCCCCAGTGTGGACTCTCCAAGCTCAAAATCTGTCAGAATTCAACAAAACTCTTTCCTATACCTTTCTTCTAGATTCAAGGTAGTTCCTGCCCCACCCCTACCTCCCATTTGGGGATGTTCTGTTCTGAACAGATAGGATTAGTTAAGTAGCCATGTGATAATACTTCTCGTTGCTCAAACTCCACCCAAGGTTTAGGTGTTATACACTTCTTCTGGGTCACTTGGCATTTCATTCATCCCAAGGGTTCTTCTCAGGGGAAGGACATGCAAAATGAAATATTATATGCGTAAATGAACATTTGGGTAGCAAACCCTCTCAGTCCAAAAAAGGATTATGCATATCCTCCCATGTTTTACCAACTTGAAGATAGTACTGGCTTTGGTCTCACCAGTATCTGAGCTCAAATTCTGGCTTTTCAATCCATTGTCACTGTACCTTGGAAGCTCTAGTGTGCAGCGTTCAAAGTAGGAGCAACAGCAAACACTTCCCAGGACTGCTACAGGAGTTGAAGGAAAAAAGGCACGTGTCTGGTTTATAGTCCTCTTTAGAATATACGGGGTCATTTAGGGCTGGCAAGAGGAAAATGTAAAGAAGACACTGTCTTACAGTCTCCTTTCCTGTGTGTCAGAATGCTCACATCTAGCGGAGGCAGTGCCTCCAGCACAGCACACTGCAGACACCCAGTAACCCCGGTGGGCACATCTGTCTGCCAGGCATCAGGATGAGATTTTGGTACAGATGATCATCAAGAGGGACGGCTGGGTGGCTCAGCGGTTAAGCGTCTGCCTTGGGCTCAAGGCGTGATCCTGGAGTCCTGGGATCAAGTCCCTCATTGGGCTCCCTCCATAGGGCCTGCTTCTCCCTCTGCCTTTGTCTCTGCCTCTCTCTCTCTCTCTCTCTCTCTCTCTCTCTCTGTGTGTGTGTGTGTGTGTGTGTGTGTGTGTCTCATGAATGAGTAAATTAAAAAAAAACAACAACAAATGATCATCAAGAGAATCAGGAAAGCCTCTCCTTCATCTCATGGAGTGACTCCACAGTGGGACAAGTAATGGTAGTTGCCAGTTACTGGCAGTAGGTGTAGACGCTATTCAAAAGCTTCCTCATGTCTTATTTCATTGATTTTTGCAACAGCCTGTGAAGAAAGAATGACTCGTATCCTCAATTTTTATTTTTATAGAGGGGAAAACTGAGACCTGAAGTGTTAACTTACCCGAGGTCACCCAGCTAGGAAATGAGAAAGTCAGACTTCAGATCTCTTCAGTCTGGCTCTCGAGCCAGTATGCTTGCATCTCCCCTGCACTGCCTGCGTGGTAACCAGTGGTTCTTAAGAGTAAGACCAAAAGGCTAAGTGGCATAAAACCAAAATCTAGAATAATGTCTCAGATCCCTCCTCAGACAGCTTTGCTCACCTATATACCCCTAACGGACTTTGTTTTTATCACATAGCAAACATGTCTTTATAGCTTTGTAGCCAGCTTATAAATTTCTAAATAAATATTGTGGCAGAGAGTCTTGTGGTCAGCGCAGCTTTACCTACTATTCTCTTCGATGACATTACTTTTGTTCTGGAAATCTTGGTTGTACTATATATAACTTCTCTATGAGACTGGCTTGTGAAATCTCTACACCTGTTTCCACTATTGGGCTATTTATTGTCAGCTGTTGACCTTTATAAATAGTGGTTCTCAAAATGCAGTCTCTAAACCAGCAGCATCAATATTCTCCCCGGGAACTGTGTGTTATCAGCTGGTGCTTAAAGAGCAGAGGCTTCAAGGCAGGCTGACCTGGGTTCGAATCTCAGCCCTACCATTTAGTAGATGTAGGACAGTGAGCAAGACACCTACTTTATTGATTTTTAGTTTTCTTATTTGTAAAACTGGGTAATGCTATCTTGCTCACCCAGAAGCGTCTGTCTGTCTATCCACCTGTCTCTCTCCACCCACTCAAGTCTTTCTGGATTCAGATCCAAGTCCGACATTATTAGGTATGGTATGGCTTTAACCACTATCCCCTGTGCCTCACTTTCTACAGTTATGCTAATTAGAGTTTATTGTATAGATTTCTCCATAAACTTTACCTAAGAATTATGGCAGGAAAGAAATCTGTTGTACATTATATGACTGAAAAACTTAGTATCTGTGATCAAACGCCGAGTCTGCATGACCATTTTGTGGGGGTTTTTCTTTTTTCCTCTTTTCTTTTTTTTTTATTACTTTTATTTCTTGAGGGCCTTAGACATCTAAAGAATTTTGAGAAGCTCACACACCATGAGTATTTTTTAAGGCAACATCTACCTCCATTCTATGTTGTCATTTATAACAAAAGGGAGCAGAATTCTATTACTTATTATAAACAAGCCTTTGGTTATGCAAATATCCACTTTCTTGGCACTCTATGGAATTTGATACCTACAAAATGGTATTCCATGGGGGAAAACAAGGATGTGCTTTATTTTGAGGTATTCCAAAACTGAAAAGCTGCCACTACACAAGTCACAAATGCTGACCTCAGAATATGAGGACGCTATTGCTGATTGCTGTCAATAAAGCTGCACGGAGGCAACAAATAACCCAGTCATTAGTTACTGACTGTCTGTGGGATACAAGGTATTATTGCTCATAATCATTGTGAAACTAAAAATCCATAATAAAGACAAACTTTAAGATTATATTTTTAAACTATGTGAACAGACTACTTTTTGAATGGTAAACAAAACAAACAGCAAGCTTTCCAGATTATATTACATTTTTACTTAGAGCATGTGGCTATTTAAATTCAAATGAATTATAATATTGAACTTTACAATTCAGTTTTTCAGTCAGACGAGGCATATTTCAGGGCTCAATAGCCACATGTGCTGCTGGCTGCTTTCGGGCAGGTGTAGAACATTTCTATTATCACAGAGGGTTTTAGACAGCATTGATCTAGATAATTGTGTTGTGTACAAAGACCATACCATGCTTCAGATTTTCATCCTACGCATTGTTTGTATTAATTCTACACTTACTGAAGTGCTTTCTTGTGTGTCAAATGTAAGCTAGGCACAAAGGACATGAAGATAAAAGTGAGATAACCAAGTCAAGTGACAGAGATAGTCATGTAAAACATGACTGCAATGCAACATGAGATCTCCAGGGAGAGGAGACCAAAGGGCAGTCTAAGCAGAGAGAACCACACTTGCAAATGGGTGACTGGTATGGTGTGTTTGCGAACCTCTGGGTAGCTTGCTTGGCCCTAAACATGTGAGTTTTTAAGAACTAGAAAGGCATACTGAAGCCAGATCCTGAAAAATTACAATTGTATTAGTTAGCTCATTTTCAGTTGGAAGAAAACTCAGTTGAAACTGGCTTGGAACCCAAAGGATGATGTATTGATTATACAGTAGAAAACCCCAGGACCACAGTAATGAGCAGTTGCCTGGAGCTTTGGCTTCATGGGTCTGTGAATCTCTTGGCTCTGCCATTTTGTTCTGGCTTTATCCCTGTTATGATAAGATGGTTGGTGTTTTGTCTTGTTTTGTTTTGTTTTGTTTTGTTGATAAGATGGTTGTTATCGTTACAAGATTCATTGCATTCTTTGGACAAAGAGAGGCTGTCTCTCCCTAAAGCTCTCAAAATTGATGAAACCTCTTTTCTGGAATTTCCTTCAGCAGATTTCCCCTTATATCTCATCAGCCTGCGTTAGGTTACATGTCCACTTCTGCATCAACCCCCATGGCATGAGGTATGCGAGGTACTGCTTTATTCAGAAACTCCAGATCTAAGCTAACTGCTGGGCACATAGAGTAACAGTGCACTTAGATCAATAAGTCTGTCCCCGAGGCTGGGGTAAGACCATCTTCTCCTGCAGCACAGTAGCTACATGGAGAAAGGAAAACATCTAAATGACTTATCAAGACACAGCAGAATGGATGTTAGGAAGACAGCATCCTGAGAAGAGCATGGTCTCAGGAGTCAGACACACATGCCTTGGTGTCCTCTCCCTACCAAGCAATGTACCTTTCCATAACTGAGCCTCCATTTTCATATGAGGATACTAATGGCTATTGTCTTCTGCACGGTTGTGAGATGTCAGTGGGCTAATACAGGAAAGGCACTTAGCATAGTGCCTGCACCATAGCAAGGGTTCAGCGAATATTTGAGCCCTTTATTCAAATATGGGAGCTTGAGCTTTTTCTTTGAGGGGATGGAAGTCCAGTTAAAGACCGTTTTTGTCATCCCACAGCTAGATGATTTCCCACTATTTAAGAAATGTTAATAAAACAGTACTCAACTGCCAAAGATGGGAAATTAATTGTGGGATCTATGATGAGTTTAGTTGAATCACTACAACAGAAACCGTACTGTCTGGCCCTTTATGGAAGAAAGCCACCAACTCTTAAAATAGAGGGTCAGAAAAATGCCTTCTGATACAGAACCCCTAAGCATGTTAGACAAAATATGTGTTTGTAAAGTCATCTTAATGCATCACTGAGCTAGAGAAAAAGCAAGAACAGAGGCAACCTTAAAAAATTAGCCACCTGGGAATTCTGAATAATCTCAGAGAGGATCCTGAATTGGGATTGTAATCAATCAGAACTCAAAGTGCAGAGAGACCAAAGCTGACATAGGGTTAAAAAGGCAAAGTAGAATTTCTTTATGGATTTTGTTTATATAAAAGATTATATAATCAACTTTTTACTTCGATAATCCCAAACATTGCACTTGACTGGTCATCTCCAATGCAGAGATAACTAGACTGGAGC